CTTCTATTTTTTTTTTCCTTCCAAAACCATATTTGTCCAAAGCAAATGTTACATCATAGCTCCTCTTCTCTGAAAATATATACTTGTATGCTTTCTCTTCAACATCCAGGCACAAGCCAAACTCTCAGATTTCAGGCCTCTCAGCACTTGGCACAAGCTCTTTCCAGTGCTGCATTTCAACTGCCCACTGCCTGAGCTCACATCTCAAACCTTCTCCATCAGTTCCAATAAACCACCACACAAGCATAGCTTTGCCAAATTTCAGCATTGAGGAATAAGGCAGGCCAAACAAGAGACAGTGAATTCAAAGCCTTCCACTGAAGCCACGGGAATGAACTCAACTCTAGTTAGTCCTTTCAGGATAATCTAAGTCAAGTATAGACACGCACTGACATAGTAGTTCCAACCATACTCAAGATGCTGTTAGAATAAAAGCCATAGTAATGAGCAAAGCAAAATACCGAATTTTATGCTGCAGTAGTCAGCACTCTTTTTATACTTTCATTGTTTACTTTTCTCCTTACATAAAGGCTCATTTTTCCCTAGAGAGATGTTATAAAATTCAAGCTGCCTGAATTGCTAATAGGCATATTTCAAAGTTAATTAGTTTAATTTCAGAATCTGGTCTTCTGCTACATCTCTATCTGCTAGGAGCAGATCTGTAGGGAGAAACCAGTAACTAGACACATTCCAGAATTTTTATTGGTGTTTTAACTTGGGACTAGACCTGATCCCTAGGATTGAATGCCTGTTTGTGGCTGGTGCAAATTACATGCAACGCTGGAGCTCATCTTCCAGTGTAGTTTTGTCTAAAAGGAATGCAGTTCCTGTGTTTTCAAACCACCTCACGAGGCAATCCAAAACACAGCACATGGAGGATCAGATTTGCTTCAAAGGTACCCTGCCGATCCTCTCAAAGACTAATGTAAGTGCACCCTGTAATTCCTCAGTAGTAGATCCTCCTTTTGCTTGCAGTACTGATGTTCAATGATCAAAGTAGCAATAAAGTTCTCTTAAATTCAATAGAATCTTCAACTCTTCCCTCCCCCCACTGCCCTTCTGCACCCAGTATGAAAGGCAGCGGCACCAAGAGCATCCCCACATCACACTGGACAAGGGAGAGGACATGTACTGTGCCTGTGCAGAAGCTCTCAGCAAGGACTCCTGCTAAGCATTATTTACCACTAACTCCTTAATCTCCCCGTCACAAGATTGTTTCCTAGCAAGCATATCAATTTTGTGGCATGACTTGAGTTCTTACTGGTATTTACACTCCTCCCTAAAGTGCTCATCCCCAAACTGGGCACGATACTCCAATGTTCTCACTCAAATGCCTATCACAGAGAAAGGGTCACTTCTCTACTCAAAATTCCTCATATGAAAATTATTACCAACATTGATTTGCAAGTCGTCTAACAACCACTGCTTTCTAAGGCAGCCTTTCTTTTCCTGACACAGCGTGCAGTCTTTGTTCACAGATCACTTTACACTAAGTGATATTAAGATAATTTTCTAAATTACAACTTTGAACTGGATGATTTATAGCTCTTCAGAAAGAAACTACCTTCCTTTATTTACCACACAGTGAATCTTATTATCCTATCTGAAAATTCTGTCACAAAAAATTATATGTAATAACCAAGGTCTTTTATAAAAATCTTGTTTAACATCAGACAAAATCTGGTCAAGGAAAAATTCTCCAATTAAGCACTTGGCTACTGCATATTTTACAGGTAGCTATATTTTGAATTCCTTCTGTAAGACAGTTTTTAATGTGGCAGGCATTAAATCAAGCTCCTTGAAAAATATTAAAGAACACCTCTATCAACAGGACATGCAATATAACTTCTAACAAGTATACAACACGTTCATAGTAGTTGGCAATATTTTCAGCCTGTCCAAAGATAGTCCACTTAACCCTTTTAAAAACATGGAACTGTTTACAATCCTTCCAGTCATCCTGAATTCCTAAAACTGTTACAGAGGTAACTGTTTTGACACCTCCTCTGCCCATTTACAGCCTGAGACAATCCAAGACACAGCCTTCCTGGTGCCAAAGAGAATTTGCTGGCTGTAAGCACGTATGCGGCATAAGGTAACATCTTTCCATCAACTACTTTTTTCAACTTCTTAAATTGGTCAAATAGTGCAAGAGCCACCACTTTTGTCTCAGCCAAGTCCCCATTTCTGTTTTACCTGTGCCCAGCAAAGAAAAAGTGAGCAAGTCAGCAGCTTTAAGGCATTTTTTTTCCTTCCCAAGCTAGATGCACAGCATGTATCAGCAGGCATCAACACATTCTGCTTTAGAAGATCAAGACAGATTAGCCAGTAACGGGACAGTTTAATATGATACAGTACTGAGAAAAGGAATCACACTTCAGGAAAAATTTCAGCCTCCTTTATGTGGCCTGAATATTTTAAATTAACCAGATTTGAAGTAAATACTAAATTTTCTTCCCATTTGTACTTCTGAAACCAGCCATCTCAGAAACTTTTCACGTTATTAAACAGTATTAGTATTATTAAAATAATACTTTTATTTTTAACAATAACCATGTACATTTTTGTTAAATGTACTTTTTTGTTAAAAATAAAATTATTAGTAGCAAGTTATTTGCTTTCCAAGTCTGAAGATATTGTAATGGCTTCATTCTATATTTGTATGACTAGCAGTTATCTGCAAATATCTACAAGATCCTTTTTCCACTAAACGTATCTAATAACGAGAGGACTCTACTACTTACTGAAAACAATTATTCTGTCCCAAAGAATACAGTGTTCTCTTTTCTCAGAATACTTGTTTTAAATGCGAAATTTTCTTCAGGGATGTTCCTTCCATATCATCCACAAGATGTCACCATTGTAAAAGAAAGAAACTGCATGCATTGTAAATTATGAAAGACCTTTTTTTACATTCTGAACCATGGATTTTATTTATTGTACTTCTCAGTCACTGCAGTTCAATAATTTTAATATAGGGACCTCACATACTCAAAAAAAAAAACCCACAAATGTGAAAAAAAGCAAAACAAAACATAACATTATCTTCAAAATTACAGAAACCAGGACCCTACTTTCTCTACTTGGTTTGAATTACCAAACACAAGAAGAATTTGGCAGACAGTAAGAGTAGTAATATTAGTAGAACATTTATGATTCCAGCATTGCAAATAACCTACTTAGAAGGTACTGTCAGTAGAGTATATAGATGCAAATAAAAAATAAATAGCTAGAACAGAGAACCAGGTAGTCTCCCAGAGAGCTTAAGGAAAGTTTGGTATTATTTAGTATTTAACAGGGAAAACCAATTATGTATCCAAGCCAGCTCATCTGTCATCAAAACAAAAAAACCCAAAGATGAAATTAATTGAAATTACATAGGTTTGGTGAAAATCCCAGTAACAGTAAAGCAAGTTATCTCTATATAATCCTACTCGCTGTAGACAAGAATTGGAAGCTAGTATGCACAGAAATGCTAGATGAAAAGAATGTACTAACAGGGAAAGTTGGCCTTTTAATTTTATTTACTGCTCAGAACTTCTAATGAAGATTATAGCACTGTAAATGAAGGTACAGTCTAAAAAGTGTTTCTAAAGGTTTGTGACTTTTCCCCATTTTGTAAAGTGATCTGAAATTGCAAGGAATTAATGCACAAATAAAAGGGTGATGTTCTTGCTGCAAGGTGAGGCACTGGCACAGGTTGCCCAGAGAAGCTGTGGCTGCCCCTCCCTGGCAGTGCTCAAGGCCAGGCTGGATGGGGCTTGGAGCAACCTGGTCTGGTGGGAGGTGTCCCTGCCCATGGCACGGGGGTCAGAACTGGGTGATCTTTAAGGTCCCTTCCAACCCAAACCGTTCTGTGACAGGTTCTATTCACATTTTCCTTACGGAGATTAAGCTTTCAGGATCTTTTTTTGTGCCCTACAAACGTGGAAGGTTCTAAAGGACTCGGAAACAATCTGCACCGTTTCCATCCACCAATACTGCTAACCCAGTTCCTTTCTGTGGGTACACTGACTGCCTTTTAATGAACAACTTCATTAATTATTAAGAAGAGAAACATATTAAATCTCATGGTGTCTTTGGTCTAATAGGTGTGACAGCTAATAGGAGTAAAAAAGCCATTTCCTTTGACATGCAAAAAGAAACAGTAATAAAACAAAAGTAGAGGCAAGAAGTAATGGGAATAGGGCATACCAGCTAAGTAATCTGGAGGTATTTTAATATTTTTTTTAAAAGAACATCAATTTCAATGCATAGCACAGTAATCCAATTGAGACTTCAATAGGAATGGTAAAGGATAAAAAGAAAAAGATTCACAAACATCTAGCATAATTACAGTAAGTGAATGAAACATTTAGGATCTTAAATAATTGATCTTTAATAAGAAACAATTATTTATAGTACTGGGAGTAAAATTACAGCACATGCTTACAGTACATCAGTTACTCCACAGCCTGTGTCCACATAGACATTCTTGTGCCATCATAACAAAACAGCTTACCTCCCTTTTTCTTTGAGGGGTTATACAAATAACACACAACAAAAAACCAGACAGTGAATACTTACTTCAGGAAGTACTAAAAATACGATGTGATGATGTGACATTAAGAAAGGGGGGGGAAGAAAATCAAATCTATCACAACATTAAAGAAATTAATCAAACAGGAAATTAGGCTATGGAGGAACTAAGTCTTCATAAGTGCTCACAACTCTTCAGTACTTACTGCCATTATTTTTTCAAATTAATGGTCCAGAAAGAAGAATGCCCACCACAAGAAAGTTTAGGTCAGGTATTTCCGCAGTATCTTCAGACAGAAAATATCAAAGCTGTGAGCCTTTTCTGGCATTAAAGTACACAATGTCTAGGTCTACGTGAAAATTTACTCAAGAAATTCTTTTCTTTTATGTTTATTCTTTAAAGACACTAACATGCATACTAGACAGGATGCATTAAAAGCAATTCTTTTTTAAAGATTAACTTGATTCCCACAAAACCTTACCTTGCCAGCTATCGTTGCAGACACACAGCTTCTCGCCTGTCAAATCACAGTACCCATGATCTGGACTACCACAGTTGGCTTTACAGTATGGAATATCACAGGCTTCTCCTTTCCAGTACTTGTCACACTCACAGTATACCCGGCTTGGTACGGACACACTGGTTGTACACTTCCCATGTTCTGAGCAGTTATTAGGACAAGAATTAATTCTGAAAAAACACACATAAGAGAAATTACAAACCAAGAGTTGATGGATGGTTTTATCTGATAGTATTCCAAGAGTATTTAAGTTAAAGTACTTTTTTTCCTTGAAAAATTTCTATGTACTGATAAAACACGAGTTTAATGACGATTTTACAGGCAAGGGAGCAGAAAAGGCATTCGTCTAGGCTTATGTACAAAGTCTGTGATGCAGTCAGGATCACAAACACCTTGTACTATAAGAAGAAGTATTGACGTTAAGCAGAAGGACAGGCCCTGCCTGGACAGACTACCATCTGTTCTTTCCTATATTCTAGTATCAGCACTCTAGTCCGTCCCTTCAGATGTTTATTATCTCTAGGAACATCCACACTGGAAGTGACTGTGAGCAGTAACCCTTAAACTCTCCACCACAGGCATACAGCTAAAGGGTCTTCCTGAGTGCTTTGGTCCATGCTATAAAACAGAATGTCTAACATCCAAGCTGAATAAAACTGGAAAAAGCAAGTAAGGAAAAATACAAACACTGATGCTTTGAGTCCTTAATAATAGAGCCCCTTTAACCTTGCCTCCTTAGCTCCGCAGTCAGAGATGCAAAAAGAGGAAAGATTAGTCTGAAAGAAGTCTGTGACTGTTATGGGAGTTAGCATTTCTGTGATACACCCTACCAAACAGTGAGATCACAGGCAACTGGACTGCAAAGCTATGCAAACTGGTTCTACAAATGAAGGCAATCCCTTAGAGATGAGGTGGGATGGAGGACATAGAAGTATGGGAGTCCAAGAGTTTCCATGAACAGAATCTCAGCAGCATGTGCCTGATGAAATCCAAAAGGATTTGAAACCTTTTTTTGATCACTCACAGCAAAGGGTTAGGTTGAAACTCAGAATAAACTGTTACTACAAACTGTTACTACAAACCCCTAATGATCCCTGTAGATGTGAGGGCTGGATACCGTTCATAGCCTTCCTTACTCTTACCAAAGGAAGAAAGAACTGAAAGAGTTAGTGAGGAATTGTTCAAAGCTGGCCTTCGGCCAAATGCAGTTGTGGTAGGACAGTCAGGAGACGTGCTTTCATTTTCTAAAGACTCACACCTCAGAGAACTGATTCTGTTACACTATAGAAAAAGAAAGTTCCACGTCTGAACCATGAATGTTCTGAGGGTTCTGCCTAGTAGCACACATGGCACTAAAACCACTGATGGCATTAACTGCTGTATACCATACCAGCGAGGAAACCTCTCCTGACTTCACAGGGAGAGTGTTCTGCAGGAAGGTGAACAGTTAAGTCTTTCCAGCGATAGGGATACCAGTTTAAAAGTAGACATATTCCCCCTCCAACAGATTTGTTCAGGGTTCAAGCAGAATGAGAAAAACTGGAAGCAGGTTGCCTGACTCCAAGGAACACAAAATTTATCAGAGAGTTCTGGAGTAACTATTGTTGTTTGTAACTGGCATGGCATTTTAGTAGCAGATGCTGTGCTTCTGTCCTCCCCAAAATAAAGAGGTATGAGTGGTCCATCAAGATGAAGTCAAAGATGAAGTAAAAATTCAAACCAAGGAAGAAAGAAGATATCAGAAGCAGAGTGTAACAGATTAGTAACAGAAAAAAAGTTAATGCATCCATAAAAAGCAATCGTAGGCACTTCTTTTATCACAAAAAGAGTTACTGTCGGCTCATTAAAAAACCCTTATTTTAAAAGTATCCGTTGCAACAGAAGAAACAGAAGAACAGAGTATATAAAATTTCATGAGTTATGTATGTAATGGAAAACTGGCAGGTCTCTTCATTTATTTCAAACCTTCCAAAAAAAATTGGTAATGATACGTAGCATGTACCACATTACCAAGTCATAAAAGAATGCAGAACACATAAAATCATTTCTTAAGAATGCCATGTCATATTGCCATTTGCTCCCAAGACAAATAAAAAAAGTGCAATAAAACCTTCAGGGATAACTGAAAAATGTATCTAATTACAACAGAGAAGTCTGCCAGGTGATTGCATTTTACTGATGTCAACTGACAGAAATTAAATATACCCGGTCTTCCAGACGGCCATTTCCAATACAACATATTTAGTGAGGTTTCCCAAACTCTGAATAGCTATTTCTTATCTGGTAAGAGGTAGGCAAATCACTGCAAACTACATAAACAATCTTTCCAATTTAACAAATACCTCTGCCAAAAGTAAAACCATAGTCAGAAACACAAAGAGGAATTTTAAATTAATAAAGAATACGATACAAGATATTACATGCACTTCCACATTTGAAGCCACACACCCCAAAAACTGGTATTTCAGAATCTGAAGGAATTGAAAGAAAGGAACAAGAATATCTTCAATCATGGGAAAACTATCACATGAAGAAACAGGTCCAACAGGACCAAGCAATCCTCTCTTGAACTAAAGCATCCAGTATAAATAGATATCACATCATGTGTCACAACCATGTCCCAAATGAGACAAACGTTGCCATCAACAGCTGGTGCATATAAGAAGGAAAAGGCTCAGGTCCATAAGATGCATCTTTAGAGCTGCTGACACAGAAAAGCAGACTGGAGGAAAGCAGTATATCAAATCAGACTTTGCCATCAGAGAAATTAAAAGATGGACAGCACAGGTAAGAACTATGAAGGCAGAATGCAGACTGAGATGGACAATAGGAGGGGGAAGTACCCAAAAAGCAAGAGGAAAAAAATAAACCCTTGTGACTAGCACAAAAACAAAAGCAAGACTTCAGTGAAGGTTTCAAAAGCCATAGAAGTACATTCAGCAAGCAAAATCAAGCAACAGATGATCCTAGTTCAGGAGAAGGGAACTGACATGACAGTTGATATAATTTCTCCTCTATTCCATACAACAACTACATGTGTTGGATAAATACTGGAAGGGCTACATTCAAGTTCCATATGGCATAGGAAAAACATTCTTGGAATGGCCATGTGGCTTCACTCAGAACAATATACTTTATCTCAGGTTTTTTGGTTTTTTGTTTCTTTTTTTTTTTTCTTAAAAAAAAACTAGTACCCTACAATTCATTCCAACCCCTGCTCCCTGGTTTTAGAAACATAGCACAAAGTGTAACTCTTACGCTATTAATAAAATCAATAGATAAACACTTCCCCTGGGCTTCTCATTCTCCTGAAAGAAATTACAGGCTAATTAACAAAATAATTACTTATTTAAAATACTTACGAGTAAAAAATGTTAAATCCAGTCAGGTTATAAGCAGCATCGCTAAAAAAGTGCAGCAATGCATAGCCAGATGTAGTAACTACTTCAGGAACAGTTTCATTTCCACGCACTTCGGGGACTATTAGACCACTGGTAAAGAAAATGAGAATAATGTTTTTAATCAGTCTTTGGGAGAGGGAAAAAAAAAAAAAAAAAAAAAAAAAAAAACGGAAAGAAGGAGTTGTTAGCTATTCTGCTTGTTAACTATATAGACAAGATAACTCATAAATTTCATTTTAAAACTTTTAAAAAATAAAACCAACCACCAAGTAATAAAAAGCATATAAAACTTGGTCATACCTCTCCAAGGTAAGAGAGGGCTTTCCAGAAAACAAAACAAAAAATCCTCCTCCCTCACACAGTAAGAAAATTTCACATCCTGGGGGTACATGCAGTGTCAGTATAAAACTTTTACTGACTTCAAGGGATTAGGACCCAGTGCCTTCTCTCTAGTAAACTACAGCCCAATTGCATAGAATATACTTTCTGGAATGTTTCCCAAAATTTTAATGGAAGGGCAGGAATAAACCAACTGAAACATTTTGGTAACTCCAGGAATGGAGGAAACAAGTGTTAAAATTCATATGCCCTGCTTTTTCTCTCTTGGGCACATAGGAAATACAGTGCATGGACCTAATTCTTTACCTCAAGGGTTTATTGTCAATTGAAAGGCAAATATTTAGTCTTTCTTGAGTATTGAAGTTGCTATGCTCATTGTTTATTGTTATTGATTTTATGTTTATTTCTAAACCTTGCTGCAAAGTAATACTATGATTCTAGACAACAAATATTAACTTGAAAAAAGATTTAGTTGTGTGGCAATTCTCATAAGGTAATGATAACTTAATGAAACGGAAAGAAATTCCATCATTTCAGTTGATAGCAAATTTAAGGTTTCCTCCAGGACTTTGAAGAACTGAATAATTTTACCCACATGACTTATTCACAATGATGTCCAGCTTAGTAATCTAAGGAAACATGCTACAAAATCAGTGCTTAAGGTGGCCTCTTCATCAAATGCCCTGAACAAGTCTCTTCATTCTTCATACAAAATGTAGAAGGCATTTAGCAGCCATTTTTTAGCATTTACACATACTACAACATTGCCTGAGTCACAGATTGCAATTTTCCCTTAAGTAGGATCAGATACTGACTTTATGGGCCAATGCCACGTTTAATGCCCATTAAAACTCAGGAGTCACTATTGGAAGCCTACCGGAAAATACGTTTCTGATTGCCTGTCTATGGCCATTAACACTCCATGCAATGTCAGCAGTAAGTACAAGCCACATAATGGATTTATGCTATTAGCACCTAACCAAAAAAGTAGTGGTTTGCAATTTTTTTCTAATATAACTTCACATACATGCTCCCACAATATTAAGGAAAGAAAGCAAGCTATTAAGGAAAGAAAGCAAGCAATTTACCAAATTAAAACCCCTGATGTTATTTTTTTCCCCACAAACTAAAAATGTCCACACGTGACTACTCGGACTAAAAGGCTAATAAATACACTCACCTAAATACAGCTATTAAAGGTGCATATATTGAATCTCCATCATATACATACATATGGTCCCAACTACATTCTGTGGCAAAGTGATTAAATCTTAATCTTAGTATTGCATTTGGGCTGAAAAAAAAAAAAAAAAGACCATTGATATAAAACATCATTTACAGTAGTAGTGAGCTTATAAGATAAAGAACTTACACGCTGGCATAACTCTGTGAAAGCATTTTGAGTACTAGCTAAACATTTCAAAGACTTAAATAACAAAATTCAGGGCAAGCAAATATTTCACTTGATCTTAGAAAACTTTAAAAATAACATCTTCAGTCCAAGTCTAATAATCCCTAAAGTTAACAAGAGACAAGTTCACCAGGTTTTATCAGTATTCAGAACCACAAATTTGAAGCAATTAAAATATCCCATTTTAATATACTAGGTTTATTTACAATGTCAGGACTATGAGGTTTAAAGAGTCCTTCAATACAAAATCACCTATACACCCTCATTCGAGTATTATACTAGTTACTGAAAATAAAAATCTTAAAACACAAATTTAAAATAGCAAGCAATATTAGCGCAAGGTATTTTTCTTTTCTTCCTCTCTTCCCTCATCTGACACCTGGAAGTCAGATTTTGCCAGTGTTTGGTAGAGAGATCCAGATGGGGACTGTAAGATTTCTGAAAGGGGAATTTTCTCATACAACAAAATTAGCAGACTCCTAAATATATTCCGTGCAACATCCTGATTGTTTTTTCTTTCATTTTAGCCTCATCTCCCATCCCTGACAGGCTCGAGTGTAATTTGTGACTTTGGAAAACATATGCTTTTGGGTTTGTTTTGGTTTTGTGGGGTTTTTTGTTGGGGTTTTTTTTGTGTTTTTTTTTTTTTTTTTATGAGAGCACTCTTTGTTCATTTTTTAAGAGAAAGTATTTTATACATCTGTGACTGACTTGTGTGTTGACATTTTGCACTATGTTACTGGGTTGCATTACTCTTCCACATCCTGTGCAGCATATTGTTTCCTCCAGCTACCCACTCTACCATCTCCTGCAAAGAGGAGGAACAGATTGAAAACCAACTTCAAAGCAGAGTTTGCATACAGTCCTGAGGCATGTTTCCACTTTAGGACAGCACAGTGCAAATATTCCTGAGCTAGCTTGGGTAAAAAGAGAAGTCTAGCTATATGAGAAAGAGATTCAGCTACAGCCCAGACACCTAGATATCGAAGGTTCTACTGAAATGATTTTGCAAACTACCCTTAACTTCTTTGTTGCTGTGTTTACTATCTGCATATAAGCAGACCACAATTAGATCAGACAGACCGTTAGTGAACTGCAACAACAGAGCAGACATCTAAGGTAATTGAGACTACGAAAATAAAAAATACAGAAGGGGGTAATTTTCTTCTAGAACATTAGTAGAACGCAGATCTAGCTATATTCCTCAGCAAAATCCTGACCCATAGCCTGGGGGGAAAAAAAGGCTCACAACACATTTGTGCCTTTAACAGTTAGCCATACCAGTGCATATGTCTCATTATTTCTTTGTACATGTCTGTTTCTGTGTTGCATAAACTGAAAAATTAGCAACAGACACGAGACATCTAAGCTGTGTAAACTGTGGGTACAATATGATTTTAAAATTAAGTACATGAGGAAAACAAGAATGCGAAAGAAAATACTTTATAGAAGCACTAACTTTTGAGCGATGTGTAACTGAATAATTAGACTGGAAGCATTCTGTACTTGAAGCCATTCCTGATTTATCACTGGACAGTAAGATAACAAGTTAAATAACAGGATTCTGTAACCACATTTGGAACTTGTGTAAAGGTACACAAACAGACAAGAAATTTATCATAGGGTTTTGAGAGCTTGCAGCACTGGCCAAATTCCAATGTCAGCCTAACTTTTGCCAGCAATTTGAATGGGAATGGAATTTGGCCAACTCTGAGCAATCCTGAAAATCCTACTCCAACTTTTTTTTTTATCTTTATAACATATAAACAAAACCAAAACAAACAGGAAAACCCAAAACTGTTTATATTGTATCCAGATGCAGTTTCTACTTGAGAATTTCCTTAGATCTCTAGAATACACAGTACAAAACTGTCAGAAAATTTAAGCTATGAAAATAAATACTTACTATCCTTCAATTAACCATGTACATTTAGTTTTATATTTGTAATTTATTGGTCCATCTGTTAAATATCCAGAAGGTTCTGTTAACCTACAAGAGAAAAAAAAAATAGTGCTGTAATGAACCAGAGACAACACAATAGAACACACATCATCAACATGCCAATAGATTCTTTCTGGGTGGAAAGAAAAATGGGGGTGGGGGAAGAGTTAAGTCTTCACATTTCTTGTCTCACTAGTTTTGCTCATAAAAACTAGAATTCTGATTATTCTGTATCATTGATTTGCGTTCTTCCCCTAGGCGATCACAAGACTTCTAATTTTTCTAGTTCAGTAGCAAGCAAATACTACATATAATTTAAATTACCCTTCACATGAAATGCATCCAAGCCAATGTAAAGAGGTTTTTGTTTAAGAGTATTTTGTGTTTCTTCACCCATTGCCTTACATCTTGCTTCTGAAATTAGATCACAGCAGCAATGGGAAAACTGTTCCAGATCAAGAGAAATTAAGGCATAAATTATAAATTTAAATAAGCACATCTGCCAGCCTGTCCCTCTGTCATTCCTGGTCAGTGATTAGACACTGGAAAGCAGAACAACACTGAACTATGCAGAAACTAAATAAAATGCATACAAACAGCTATAAAAGGTCAGACCAAAATGCCGACGTAGCCCAGTACAGTCTCTGACAGTGGCCTAGAGTGGATACCCAGGAGAGAATTTAAATCCCTACAGATACACCCCGCAGCATCACACCACCTTCAACAACTTGCAGCTCAGGAGCATTCTCAGCCAGAGGTTATGCCTTTGGTCTTGGGTTAATGTTTCTCCTAGGGGTCTGCCCATGTAAACTCATGTAAACATGCAGTATCTAGAATGTCCTGCAGGAATGTTTTCCACACATACATGAAGAGAAATCTCAACTGTTTGTCCTGAGCCTACCTCTTGGCAATTTCATCTGACATCCTTAGGTCTGGTATCGGATGAGACTATGAACAACAGTACCTGTTCACATGCTTTATCCCACTCAAAATGTAATGATCTGTATTGTTTCCCTCCCTTCTCCCCACTGTCCCAACCTGAGAAATCCTTCCTCACTTAGTTGTTTTTCATACGGAATAACTACATTTAATCACCCTCACTGCTGGTATTTAATATATCTTTGCTATTCTCCTATACCCTTTCTGAGATGCAGCACAGAGATCAGCGTATCATATTCAAGATGCAAGTGAACCATGAATCTGTACAGTAGCATAATAATGATTTCCACTTTGTTCTCTATTCCCATCCTAATATTTTATTTGCTGTTTCAACAACTACTATGCTGCCATTTTAAAACACAACTAGCTGCTATAACTTTTTTGAGTGATAATAGATAGTTCAAGATTCATTACATATAGAAACTCATTTAATGTAGAAACAGAACCTTTTTCCTCCATTCATATCTATTACCTCACATTAATCTACACACAGCAATAAAACAGGAGACAAAATTCAATAATCTATTACCATAAAAGCTTTCTGCAAGAGCTTAGTGTCTTCAGCACACTAACTTCACTATTTACCCCATTTTCTACATCCTTTATGATTATGTTCTGTAGTTCAGGCCTTAACACGCACTTCTGGTGGCCTTAATCCACTGGGAAAACTGACCATCCTATTCTTTAAAATGTTACAACAACGATAACTAATATAAAGACACACTCAGAAATGTTCATTTCTTTCACTATAGTGTGGAAAGATAATTATTAAGTATCATTGAATAAGAAAAAAGAAGCAGTTGGGTTTTTCTGGTTTGTTTCAGGTTTTTTAACAAATCAATAGTCTAGATCTAAGTCCAGAGGCAATGCTGAACAAGCTGACCAAGTCACAGCTGAATTTTCTCACCAGGAGTCAAGCTGAACCAGAATCCAGTATCCGCTTATCCTACTATCTTTCAAGCTGTATACACCAATTTTAAAAATATTCACTCCCACACCTACTACAAGTTACTGACATTTTAACTCTTATCAAACACCAATTGTATACTTAGTAGCAGAGATCTGTAATTTCAAGCATAAAACTATAAACATGTGGAAAGGAAATAAAAACAAGGGTGCAAGAAAAATTCACGAGACAAGATCAGTGCAGACCCTCAGGTTTCTAAACAAGTCCCTTCACCTGTCCTGTAAGAAGTAGCTTCAGTTTGTCAGGCACACTGTAAGCCACTCTGTTCCAATCACTAGTGGTTTGAATGAAGATTTTTTTTTTTTACCCACACCTTCCTTTAGATGAAATGGAACAAAGCTCTCTAATATGGGGAGCTGTCCAAATAATTGTACTTCAAAACATTTTCAAGGCATAAAAGCAGTATCAATAACATATTTTATGCTTCTGAATAAAAAGAAGAAAAGCAGACTAACAGCTGGTAACACTAGCAACAGACTGAGAGGAAAAAAAATAAAACCAAACAACCACCATATAGTTCAGCCAGCTGACAGCTGAGAGAAAATTTCCCTAACAAAACCCAATACACTGAGCTGGTCCGAACGCCGCAGTACACCACTCCCCCAAAGCAACGGTTCCTGCTAAGCACTACACAAGCGCTGGTGGAGCTCATAGGCAAAGCAATGAACGATGAGGCACGGCTGGCAACTCCCACTCCTCCCTCGCTGCACACTGGAGAAGCCAGAGTGATGGCCACGGGCAAAGGCGGACCATGCTCCTGCCAGGCGCTCTCACATGAATCGGTGCCTGGCCACAGAAAACGTTTGCTTAAAGAAAGGAAAAGGCACGTGCAGTTTAAGTTTACAATATTTCTTTTTGTTGAGAAAAATCAACTTTACCTAAAAGTATACTTTCATGTATATATACACAAGAAATAGGTTTTTGAGAGTTATTTCTGGCTTCTTTACATATTAATTACATTGTTTGGACAATGCTGAACATAGTATCAACTTATAACTTAGTGCTCTAAGTCACACATCACCGATTTTGCAATCAAGCTAATATTGATGCTTGGCCCCTAACAGAACCTTAGTAAAGCTGATTACAGGAGCAGTCCCCATGTATGAGTGTGTGCTAAACTGAATTTTTTTTTTTTTTTTGAAAAAAAGGCAGTGATGCATAAAATCCTAATCAAGATAATTTTAGTGCTGTTATATGGTCTATAAACATACAGGAAGTCTTATCTAGCAAGCCACAGAACATTTCTTTTGCTTCAAGAAGTGTGAAATACCTTAAGCATTCATTTGCAGTCATGACCACTGCTGCCTTCCTAGCTGTACAATGCAATGGAGGTGACTTACAAGAGTTGTTTTCATTAGATCAGCCCTTTGGCAGTAGTAAAGTGCAAACAATTTCCCTTTTCACCTAGGCTGATAATTTTTTGATAAATAGTTTCATTCGGACAAGTAGATAGCCTTTGAAGCTGCACTTGCACTTTGCTGAAAAGAAGTAAAGAATAATGACATTGCTTTGTAATAATGGTTGTGGGAAATGGTAAGATAAAGGCGCTGTTCTATTTAAAATAAATACATAGCAAGACAGAGGGGTATTACTTTAAGTTTCTTGAGTCATACCAAGAACTTTTCTGTACAATTTCTCTTTCCAAACATTATCAAATCCCATAAATGACATATAGATAAGCAGTGCTACTTACATATAACCTCTCCCCAAATCAAGGGCAATATTGTCTATTACATAATGCCATGTATTCGTGGACATAGTTCTGCTCTGTGACAGTGATCCTGCCAAATGATCAAAATCCAGACGAGCCAACATGACTACATGGTCTTCAGTCACAGAAGCTGAACAGCCAGAACAATGCGTACGTGCTGCACTCCACTCCCTGCTCATGGCTGAGAAAGCTTCAGGGATCACAGAATCACAGAACGGCAGGGGTTGGAAGGGACCTCCGGAGATCATCTAGTCCAACCCCCCTGGCTAAAGCAGGTTCACCCAGGGCAGGATGAGGGGACAGCCAGAACAGTTTCTGTGGCCTGCTTAAGCACCACAGGTTTTTTCACACCTAGACTCCAGCTTTCTAAACAGAATGCACAGGGGAGCAGTTGATATTGTATATTGTCATTTCAAATTGCACGCCAGCTTTCATAAACACAACAATAATTTTTAGTTGGCAGAATTATAATCAAAACCTATGAAGAATTAGAGGTGCATGCCAAGAGAACATTTCCCTTCTCTGTATACTGTAAAACAGGTCTACCAAATTATAGAAAGAAGTCAGGATGCTGAACAGCAGAGTTAAAGACAGTCATCAGAAGCATTAGAGACAGATCAGTCAGCCACGACGCTAATCAGTCAGTAATAGCTTACATGAAACATCTGTGGCACTATAGGTTGTTTCATCTAGCAGACACACATACACCAGAAATACAAGGGCTAAAGGCTGCAGAGCAACCAAAACACGAAACAAAGGGAAATCCATATTACCGCTGTTATTAACTAATGGCAAATATAATTGAGTTAGAATTCACAGTGGTAACATTTATATTTACCACTGCAGAGACTTGAAATCAAGACTGATGCATTTCAAGAAAAAGAGAGAAAGGTATGTTCTAGTTCAGTCAGAAATAATTGGTCTAAAGTGAAGGAGTCGTCAGATGAAATCTACTGCAGGCCATAGATAAGACATCAGAGCAGGTTATTAAAATGGCCCTTCCTGACTGTAATATTTATAGATCTGTGAAAAATGCAGTCCTGTCATCTCCAGTATCTTCTTGTAAAAGAACAGGATTGTCAAATCTTTCAGAAAGGGGCACTAACTTAAACCAGAGAGGTCGCTGGGTATTTTCTGTCACCATTGGAACATCAAGACCCACGAAATTGCTGGTAGATGGACAGCCAGAGGTCTGATTTATCATACAGGTAATATTAGAAGAAACAAAGCATAACGCACATTCATAATATTACAAATATTCACTGCTAAATCAAAGAAGGGTTATGAAAAGGTTCATTTATATTACTTAGTGTCACATTTCTATTCAGAATTTCATGAAAAGCTGGATTACTTTGCAATTCCTATTTTCTGCATACAAGATACAGAGCACATTTTGCTATATGGACTCAGTGTCGCTATTTGTGTGTCAATCAAGGACTATTCTCTCCATTATCGCAAAATTTTGCTCCATCTCCTTTTTACCTTTTAAGAAAATTTGTTTTATTAAAAAAATAAAAATCAATAACTGTGCTTCAAAGTTATAAGACCAAACCCTTCACAAATACAAGTAGAAGCAATCTTTTCAGCTTGAGATCTTGTGCCTAACCTTTACAGCAGGGAGAGAGGCTCTTCACATACCCCAGATGAGATCAGCTGAATACATTAAGAAAGAAGGGAAAAAAATTTGGACCATCAGCATCAGGGAGCACTATGATATCAGAAAGAAATACAGAAGAGATCAAGAGGCCACTTCTCACACCAAAATTTTAAGTGATAGACTAAGCAAGTTGGGGTTTAAAATATTTTTTTCCAAAGGAAGATCTGAAAAAACAATGTGTTCCAAAACCCCACAAAGCCAGATTTTTATTTTCCAACCACCTGACAAAAATCCTAAGAAATTGCATTTTATTTTCCTGCCTTTTTCTATCTATTGTAGACCCTTGCTGTTGGTTCATTTTTTTACAACGTACACTGAAATAGACCATACTGAACATACTGTAGCTCTAATTTTTCTTCAATGACTAATCAAGAGGAATAAATAATTAATACATTAAGAAAATATTTGCATATGCCAATCACACTCCCATGCTTGTAACATAGTGCTTTGCATTAATAGAAGAACATGTATTTAGAAACAGTAAGGACATTCACAACAACTTTTCACATACCAGCTAACCAAAGGCATGCTCCTAAATAGGCCCCATTTTATTTACTGACAAAGTAACAGTTTCTTTCGTGAAAAGTCCCTACAGCTTAATTCAACTATTTAGTTCCTCCCTCTAACTTATTTTAAGCAAAACCAGGCTCCAAAACAACCAAAAATTCCCAGAAAAGTAAAACGAAGACTATAATACAACAATATTTTTGCCCCATAAGTATATATTCTGTACTTCAAGAACCTTATTAACACTTATATGGGCACAAATCTATTTTCTCTTGAGTGTTCTTGGAGGGATATTTATTGTTGTTTGGGTTTTTTAATAAAGTCAGCAGGGATATAATCTTTGACTGGTGCAAAACATTAAGATTTAACTTCAACAGGTGGCTTTTTTCCTCATTTACCGTTTCTGGAAAAGGCTGTTATTCTATAGTCAATTTTTGTAACAGTCCCAAAAACTACTGAAAGAACAGGTGTTCCTCTGAAAATGCAAACTTACATGGCGTCTTAAGCAATGTATTTTCACTTACATGAAAGTTTAAAAAAATCTGTTCCCTTCCTTAGGCTATGTAGTATTACATACATTCACAGAACATAGACCACGACAGGTCCTTTAGAATACAATATCCGAATGTGTGACTGTGAGACTTAAAAGGGAATCTATAAAATTACTAGAAACAAGCAAATGTGGGTACAGTCTTATGAAGACTTGTAGACAAACCAGGTGCAGAAAATAAAAGTAAACAGTAGCATTAAAAATAATCCAAATATTTATTTTATTGTAAATTAAAATTATCATGGAAATACTGTATGAGACTACCTATGGATTTTTTTCTACCTCCTCACAGTATTAGGTGGTACTTGGCTTTTTTTTCCCCAAAAAACCACCCCTTTAATTGACATTCAGTTACAACACGCCCCGACGCCTACCGCAAGGCAGAAACAACCATACTGAACTCTTTCTTCACAGTTATTTGTCTAATTGGTTCTTAATTCCAGTGACAGAAGTCTACAATCTTCTTAGGCAATCTATTTTAGTACTGACTTATCCTTATTGTTAGAAAGTTTTACTAAATGACTAACTTAATTTTTTTTCCTTACTTCAGCTTAAACTTACTACTTCCTGTCGTACTCAGAGCAGACCGGGAAAACAGGTAATTCCCTTCCTCTTTTTTTCCTGCTTACCTTTTACAAACATCTACCTTCAGGCTTTTCTCCTCCAAATTCAGCAGTTTATTCTAGCATTCCTCATGCGTCATTTTCTAGCCTTCCCTCCTCTAGAACGACTCCAATTCATCTGCATCTCAAAATGGTACCTACTACTCCAGCTGCAGTCTGACCTGCATAGCAACCAGAGAATTATTTAATGTAGCCAGTTCTCCTGAATGTAAGTACCAGAATAACTGCCTTTATGCATGTGGATTTGCATACAACCTGTAATTCCCTGTGACTGCTAACTTGCTCCACAGAAGAAACTAAAGGGTATTCTGTTCATCTTACTGGGGTTAATTACGCCTACTGAACTGTAGAAATTTGAATCCATTTCCATCACCATGACTTTTTTCAGTCAGTATTATACAGGATCAATGCAGCTTGCATGATCTGGAGCTTGCTGCATGGAAAGTTTCATTTATAATCACTTTCTCAGTAGGAAAATCTATTTTTGTTTCTGTGATACAAGAATTCATTTAAAAGATGGTAACTCCTGGCCACACTGCGTAGTGAGAAATCCTACTTAAAAAAAAAAAAAATCAATGGACTCCACAGGAAAAGATGAAATTCCATTTGTGCATATTTTTCATAAAGTTCTTTAAAGAAACTCCTACGTTTTCCATAACAGCCATTTTTCTATTACCCAACCGTGTCAACGGGTTTTGAATTATTATTCATATTCATTATTCATTCACCTTACAAAGCACTAACATAAAGTCAGTCCT